CTGTTTATAAGTTCTCGCGGACAACCTTTCCGTACTATCAAGAATATACCGGAAACTTGAGTTAGAAACCTTTAGACACGGACAGTGTTTATATGAACTTATGAAAATAGTTTAATTTTCCTCTCTTATTCACAACTGTATAATGTTTCAAAGTTCTCGAAAATAAAATGGCGGGAGGAAAACTCTTCCAGATCTCGACTTTCTTAAAATATGCTTCCCACGTGCTACGTTTTGTCTTCTGCATCAGTGTTCCGTATATTGATTTTCGCACGGGAGGGGAATATTCGCGGACGCCACGCTACGTTGCCACCTTGAAACGCGAGACATGATTTCCGTTACGTGGCACTTCGGAACAGGGAAAGGGGAGGATAGCGTAAAGGTTATTTTAATGTGGCAGGTGAAGGCGCTGCTATGTCGATTCGACGGGGTATTTTAAAGAAATTGCGCTTCTGTATTAAGTTCCAAGGGCTAGGTGGGGCGAGTAGGGATTTAGGGGTCGAGATGCGATGGGAGGGAAAAATCTTCGGAGTGGAAAATCCCCCTGCAGGAATGTATCGGGATATAGATTTTCATTCATTTTTAGGGGAAATAGAGCTGCTCTTGTTTAGGGGTGTCTGGGGGAAGTTCCTTCGTTTAAGTCTTCGAACGACATTCTGAATTTAATAAATATTTAAAGCTGTTTGATTCAAAAAAGTTTTATCTTATTTATTCAAAAAGAGAGAGAAAAATTGTTATTTGGAGTTTTCTATCCAGTCTGCACTAATGTAAGGGTTATCTTTCCGAGGGTAGTTTTACGTAAATTAGAATTCCCCATACGTGTTTGCTCAGCCTTTAACTTTTACACGATAAATTTGATCGGAGCAAACGAGGAATGCTCGACGCACATGCAAATTGAATTTTTTATTTGATTTTTAACATCTAAAAACATCTTTTAGATTTTATTGCTTTTATTTGGCAAAAAATCTTTTCTTGCAATCCATTTCTTGCAATCTTTAAACTTTTCTGGTGGTGAAAATGGAAGTCGCCAAACTAGGCGTAAGGTGTTTTACTTATCTTCCTAAACTGTAATAAAAATTTAAAAATCAATGCGTGTGCTTCTTAATAACATCTTAATAGTTTTATTCTAATTTATTATTGCTAAATCTATTAAACTATAATGAAAATATATCAATGCATGAATAATTATTAAAAGGTTTTAGGCATCATAGTTTATGAACCTCAGCTACGTAATTTCTTTGTGACTCACCCACCGGCACTTTGTCATCTGCTTCAAACATTAGATCCAGTGATGATGCTAGAATTCTATAGCAACAAAGAGAATCCAATAATCAACAAGTTACGTTCTGATGGTAAGAACAAAAATTAATTCAATTAGCAACAATGCAGTTGCAGTCTTCTCAATATCATTAGTTCATTATGTTTTTTCATCAACATCATTGTATATATATCATTATTATATATATAATTCAGAAATCGAACTGCATGTGTTAACACATATAGCGATCGGGAGATTTAGAAGAAAAGCAAAGCCTGAAACTCATTCTACTTCACTGAAATTGAAATAAATTAGTTAGCGATGAAAATTATATCATTACCGTAAGCACAGTAAAGTGATATTTACAGAACGAAAAGAAAACAATATATAAAAATGTATTAATGATGTTGAGATGACTGCAACTGTATATTTGCCAACAACTGCAAAGACTGCAACTGTATTGTTCTGTAAATTTTAATGTAAGATTAGTACATAAATTTTACAGAATCTTGTCATATCAAATAATATACAGGAAATGCCAGTTTTCATTAAATTCTTCTCATCTTATTTAAAAAACATATTTCCTTGTTTGCATGATCCAGTTATACATCTTCCTTGAACTCGATCTCTGCATTTTATCTCTGGACTTCTGGTCTTCTTCCAGCGATTTAATTAAGCGATTGTATATGAAAAGTTAATTTTTCTGTAGTCACCATTATAGTTGTTATTACCGGAAAAAGTTTTACCTCTCTGTACAGATGGCCAATTCTAATGCATCTACTCTTTTATTATCCATGTGAACACTAGTTAAGTATCATTTTGTCTTTGGAAATATGTGAGAAAAAGTTATAAGAATGCGAAAAATACACGACAGCGAAAAGTATTTGCAGAAGTATGATATACTATATTTTCCTATATCAAATTATAATTTTAATCTAAATTTCCTGATTAAAAAGCTTTCATGTGTTTTAATTCTGAACATTTGGACGGTGAGATATAAATCTGCAAGTTTACTTATTAGCTCGCAAACATTCAAGTGGATAAGACCGCCAAATATTGATTGCTTTGTCTCGGGTTTTATATCCGGTAAAGCAAAGGGCTGAATGTATGAGTGTTGTTCTGTCACTGACCGTAATAATTTAATTCCTTACATTATTCTCCATGTCAAGAATCGTTCCTAAGGCAAAAAGTACTCAAGTGGTATGCTATGTTAAATTAATACAACTACTTATTTTATAAATTGAAGGAATGAACGCACATAGCTTTCAGGTTTCAGGAGGTACATTATCATGAAGAACTCTAATATTTGACTTTCTTTCCGACAGATTATTAATTAAACTGTCAGAAGTTTTCAAACAATGCTAGCCAACTTTTATTTTAAACTTCATTATCAACAACTATTTAGTAGGAAAAGGGATTTTTGCACTCTAGGTCATATGCGGTAGAACCTTGTCAACTAACTCACCACATTCCAAACGAAGGCTGAAACTGAAATGTATTTCGACATCTTCGAATATGAAAAAAAAAATCTTTCTTAAGTAACATGCAAGATTGAATAATTTCGAAATTAAGAAACTTGGTAGTCAGTCGTCCTTTAAAGCACTTCTGTAATTGGAAATATATAATTGCGAAAACAGAGCCGGGTAACGGAAATTTCGCAATTGTTGCGAAAACAGACCAACAATTGCGAAAGCAGAGGCCGAGTAAGGAGTTTTAAGCCGGATAAGGCGCTGTATACATTTATATGCGTTTGGTTCTTCCGACTGCAGTAACAAAGGGAAGTACAAACTAAATGTTATAGTAACCCCATATACAAAATTTCAACGTTCTGTAGCAAATTGTTTGTGAGTTATGCGAGATACATTTATGCGTAGAAAAAAAAATCTCTTTTGAATCCATTTGAAATCCATTTGCGAATCCGTCTTCGAAAAAAGAGTCTTTTATTCTGTCCGTGCTTACAGACGTCACGCAAAATATCGTATAAAGGAATTCGAGAACGGTCATAATGAATATTCCCGTTGAAATATGATATCCGTAATTTTTCGCGATTACAATACTTCCTTTACTTTGTACAAGGGAGTAGAAAATAAATTTCTTGAAAAGCATAAATAAAGTGTACGCTAGGTGTTCCAAATAGGCTTCCAAAGTTGCACTATTTTCAGCCGTGTACGTTTCCCACTTATTTGCTTTTTACGAAGTATCGACCATAAGACATTTTGTCAAAGAAACATGTAAAATAAACTGTCCCTCAACCGGATTCGAACCATCTTCCAACGGCTATCTGGCCGTAGCCACTTACACCAGGAGAACAAGCACGGGAGAATGTAATAATTCCTTAAACCGCTGTATCTTCTTTAAACCTCTGTTATCTTTTAAACATACGAAAATTAAGGCGTGCGGGATGAGGCTGTAGTTTAATGATTATTTTTAAAAAATGCGTTATAGTTTTATGCTGTAGAATATCTATCTCTTAATAGACTGGTGGCAGACGCATAGTTTCAGCTTCAGAAAGGAATCAAATAAATTAATTTTACAGAATATGAGAATTTTGATCATATGACGCTTTTGAGTAAAAATATAAACATTTTAATTTTTATACGGAGCTTATACGAAGAAGTTTTATTTATTTAGACATTTAGAATCAAAGCAGAGATTTTTGAATGAGATGAAAAACTGTCTGTCACGTAAAAAAATTGACCCTAAAACTTTTTCAAAATTATGTGACTAATGATTTTAAGTGGCAGATTAAGCTATAAATAGTAAAAGAAACCTATGATTCCAAGTTAATGTCTTGGCAGTAAAAAATGCATTTTTTTTTTTAAATTCGCACTTCAAAATGTAACTGACATAGTTTCTATCACAACGGTTTGTACATAAAACATCACTGTTTTACTTGTAGATAGATATAGATTTTTAAATTTGGTTTTCGTTTGAGAACTCCTTATGAGGACCTATGTATTTTGATTAAAGCCTATCACGCGACCGAAATTGTCGTGTTCTGAAGGTTTACTTTATTCACTTCAATTGAAGCTGTGATTGAATGAACAGATGTTCAAGGATATTTAGGCGTACAGTCATTTTGAAACAGTCTGATTGCTTATTTTACTGTAGTGTTGAATAAAAGAATTTCTTATTTTTAAGTTCATGAGATGTTTTTTACGCACACGAAAAGATATCTTATTCAGCACACTTCATAATTAGATTTCCCTGTTATAATTGAAGGGGATTCCGAGAGGCTGAACAATTCATTTTTAAAATACAAGACTGAAATTACATTGCATATCTTACATGAAATAATAATTATTAATTATCTCCATTATGAATTATGAAGTTTTAAAATCCAAATTTATTAAAGCTTGTAATCGGCATTGTGGAACAACCGAAGTCATTACTCTTTGTAATGTTATTAATGAAAATCTATCTTTTGATAAATACCCTGATGTCTTATCATTACACCCACCCCCAAACAGTCATTTTCTAATTGCTGAAGCTCCTGTAATTAATATAATAAAAAAAATTCCATGTTAAGCAATGGCACAAAAAATTCTCAGAAGGAAAAAGGAAAGAAAAATCGAACCTATATCTTTACTTGTTTCTTAAATTAAACATCTTAGTTTAAATTTACACTTTCAAAAATTGTCATATTATATTAAATTATTGAATGATAATGAAATTAAGAAATTTCAGCACTGTTTTTGGTATTGCATTAACAATGTTGACTAATAAAATTCCATTTTCTTACAGGATGTCACGGCAGAATCGGGCTGCGCCTTCGTCATCAACACCATCCACTAGTGGCGCTTCAGGTGGAACTGGCACCGGCATACCGGTACCGGTGGTACAGCAGGCTCAACAGTACCTGGAAGAAAACATAAAAGCATGGATGGAGCCGGCCCCGCAACCACCAAGCAGGGAAAACGTAAGCTAAATTTTTCAAATTTATAGCAAGAAATTTATATTTGAGACACATAATCGTACCATAAAGATTTAAATTTTTGATAGTACGTTTCTAATAAAATTTTAATTTGAGTAATGCTGAAAATTATCATAAGGGTATGCATGCATTGTGGCATAAGCACAATTACATTGCAAGGCAGTCACAAACGTTAAATCATGTTTTAAGGCACAATGTTCATGGCATAGTAATTTGTGTATTTACATTTGTGTTTTTTAAACACAAAATCTGCTTTATATTACCTGCAAAAATCTTACATTTTTGCTTTTTATTTACAAAAATGAAAGTCAGTTAACTAACCGCAATTTGTTAAATGATGTTGCTTTCAGTTGTGATGGGAACTTTCACATTTGTGCTACATCTTTTATAAATTTTAGATTTGTAAGTAAATTGCGCGCTAATAAGAATCACAGATATTCACAAGTTTCCTTTGATCAATCAACTGCGCCAGAGTCCACGCACAACAAATTTTCCCACTGATGATTTGCTTAATCATTCTTTCAAATTAGCGCACATTTCCCCTCATTTTTTCAAAGAGTTATTTTAAAATGATACGTTTAATAAAAAATCATGCCTGTATATAAGTTATAAATAGTTATGGGTGTAAGTGTCTACAATTCTTAGGTATATCGGAGCGAAAAACGTAAAAACTGTGCGATGCCTTTGCCAGGATTCGAAATTAGGTCTTCCGAGTGCTAACCGAGCATGCTTCCTAATTATAACACGAAAGCACGCGAAAAAGAGGGAGAAAATACCTTACATTCTTCCCCACTTTAAGGGCGATTGGGGAGGAATAGACATGGACCCCAAATTCAGGGATGACGAATTATCGTCACATATCAGTTCGAGCGCCATGTTTTTGAATTTTTGAAGCAGGAAAGGTGAAGCAATCAACTATGTCGGGATTCGAAGTCGGGATATTTCGGCTGCTAGTCGGATGTGATTTTTTAATTACATTACGAAGGCATGCAACAAGGAGGGAGAAAAATCTTATAAATTAAGTAATCGCAATTTCTTAACACCATTAATGTTTCTAATAGCTTGATGACATTTGGTTGTCGAATAATCCATTTGTTTAAAACTACGCAAATGCAAATTTAAATACGCATATTATTATTATTAAAAATTGAAGAATTGTGCGTGAGTGTTTAGTTCATCGCACTGTGAGAAGACGTTGGATTCTAGAGCGACCAAATTTTTAACACACATAGTCCTACACATGAACATGTGCACCTTAAAGCCGAAATTTTGAATTTCAAATTTGCTTTTTTATACATTAGCCCAAATGGATATTCCCAAATAGGATATTCGTCTAGAAACTGCATCTTGCGTTGAATCACTTTAAACAGGGTATCACATTTCATATTGTTGCTTCCAAATATTATCGCCCGATGTTATATTTAAAGAAAAGAAATAATGAAGAATCTGTACGAATGTATGTATGTCCCTTGCACTGTGAAAAAACAACGCTACCTAGATCCATTAAATTTTGAATAACGTAATCCTGAACCCGAACATGTGCACCTGGAAGTCCGAATTTTGAATATGTTTTATTATGTGTTTCATATTTTGTAAAACGTAAATGAATTTTTGATTAACAAACTCAACGATATGAAAGCGAGCAGTGGCAACACTGTACGGTATAAAACATTTTTATCTCGAAGCGCGAGACTGTCTGTCGGAAATTCTAAAGGTATGCTGTTTCTAACTATTTTTTTATCTTATTGTTGAATCGAATATTATGTGGCATAAGTGCCAAGAACGTGGTATTTAATAATAAAGAAACGCACAAAATGTTAATAATAAAAAAAGAAAAAATTGTAAAGGCATTTTAGTACAAATATTGATCATTGATATGATGAACTGAGAAAAACAGAAAAATACACTGACTACCAATAAGTATTTGGACACCTATGCAAATGACGATATCTACGGTTCCAAGGTACACCACGGACTCCGCCGGTATATATCGTGTAGGAAACAGCATCGGCTTTAGTCTCATGCAAGATGCCTCGCAGTTCGGAGCTCTCTGATTTCTAGAAAGGTATAATTATCGGGTATCACAAATGTGGCCGATCCTTAAGGGGCATATCTAGCGATCTGAAGTACCCAATATCGACAGTGGCCTATGTGATTAAGAAGTGGAAGGTGAGCAGTGATTGTCGGAATGTGCCCCGAGTCGGCAGACCAAGGAAACTGGGGGATAGAGACCGATGAGTGCTGTTCAGAGAAATTCGAAAGAACCGCACCCAGCCGATGACCCTCATCCGCGAGGAGTTTCAACAGGCATCCGGAAGTATTGTTTCAATGAATACCATCCGTAAGGAAGCACATCTGCTTGGTTTTCATGGTCGTGCTGCTGCCCATAAGCCTTTGATCACAAAGTCCAACCGTGCTGCTCGGTTAATTCGGTACAAAGCACATCGAAATTGGACCGTAGTTCAGTGGAAACTGGTTCTTTGGAGTGACGAATCAAGATTCACCCTTTACCTTTCGGATGGCAGGGTCTGGGTCTGGGCGTCTACCTGGAGAACGTCTCCTGCCAGAATGCATTGTGCCAACAGTCAAGTTCCGCGGAGGTGTAATTATGGTCTGGGGGTGTTTCTCCTGGTATGGGCTGGGACCCTTGGTCCCCATTCATGGTAAGCTCAACTCCGATGCCTACTGCACTATTTTGGATGACAATGTGCTTCCTACGTTGTGGCAGTTTTACGGGTTGGATCCCTGTTACTTTCAGGACGGCAATGCCAGTTGTCATGTTTCGACGTTAACCAAGGCTTGGTATGGTGCCAAAGGAGTTCATCGAATGGACTGGCCTGCCCAGAGTCCAGACCTGAACCCTATCGAGAACCTCTGGGACGAGTTGCATCGCCGAATTCAGGGGTGCACTACTCGTGCAAAATCGGTGAAGGAACTTCTATGTCTTCTCCAAGCCGAGTGGAAGAAAATACCACTAGCTGTCGTACAAAGACTTGTGGAAAGTATGTCCCGGAGGGTCCACGCTGTAATTACCTCTCGTGGAGGCTCTACCAACTATTGATTTTGAATAAAGTTAGTTTTTCTTTTCTATCACAGGTGTCCAAATACTTATTGGTAGTCAGTGTATATGCCAATACTTAACGCTGCATCGAGAATTCTGAATGTATACTGCTATGCTGCTTCTAAAGTTCTTGCAATTTTGCTGTTAAATTGTTTGTGGCACATGTGCAAAAAAAAAAAAAAAAAAAAAAAATGGTGCTTAATCATAAAGTTAGAAAGATAAAATAAATAAATAAAAATAAAAAATATAAAGAAGAAAATGTTTAGTAGGCATGAGTGTAACAGAAGACTGGTAAATTGCGAGCTCAGCGAGAGCGTAACAAACCATTAAAAATCCTTTTTGTCAACCGTATAATCTAAAGTCTTTCAGATTTTTTAAAAATATTTTATGCGAATTTAACAAATTTTACATTTGAAACAATTGGTGAAGATAGTGATGCTTTATTTCCTCATGCATTTTGATATAATTATGCACGCGTCTTTTATGGAATAGAGAACGAAAGCTTAATGTTTGAAAAATACACAAAATAAATTTCTGAAGTAGCAAAAAATCGGTTTTAAAAGAAGTTTGTTGCGTAGTTTTTATAAAGTAATATAAAAAGTTTCTTTGCAAATAATTTTGTGTATTTGTGATAATTTACTAACATTATTTTAGATGCATTATTTTATTTTTCACTGCATTACTGATGTTAGCTCAAAAATCGATTATTATTTTCTTTTATTTTTATTGAAAAGTCCTCTTATGATGCGTAGTATATCGTATCTTAGGAGCAGTCATCATATAAATGTATATCATTTATTTTCCTATGCAACGAAATATAGCGAATCGTTCCCAAAGAACATCGAAACACACCAAGAAAGGAGCTTCTCGATTATATATAAGACATAAAATAGACCGAACGCACTAAACATTATGGATCCTGAAAAATTTCCATACGAATTATAAACACGGGTTTGTTGTTGTTGTGACTTATCTCACGAGTCTGACAATAACATCAGAACAAGCCCACGAAATTAATCCTGTCAAGGGGTGCAAGATTGCGCTTGTCGTTGGCAAGAGCCTTCAGCACCATACAGATGAAAGTACGACTTCGCTCAGTTCCGCCCCCTGTTTTGATGGACAGCATCCCGGGAAAAAGACGGGTCTGAAGGTCCCCCACCCTACCTCCAACCTCTCGAGAGGACTTTCGGTTCGGCCCATAACTAGAATCACCCTATGCCGAACAGACACTGCACATTTACAAACTTCCATGCCTTCTCCGGGATTCGAGCCCAGCACTTCGATACCGCAGTAGGCTTCTCTGATCTATGATACATGTCGTCCTGACCTATCGTCTAGGCTGCCAAGCACGGGTTTAACATACATTACTTCTTCCGGAACTTCATTTACATATTATTTTTACTAATTAGTTTCCATGGATTTTGATATATATTTATATCTCACAATTCTTCATTCTGTTTTATGGAGTTTCATCTTTCGTATTACAATTTAATTTCAGAGAAGTGTTTCATCTGCATCTTCAAAATATTAGTATCTCAAATTTCCATTCTTTTATTTCAGCCGCTAAAGATATCATCAAATGCAATTAAATTAATAAATCTCTGTCTTCATGTTTTTTAAGGCATTTACTTTGTATTTTTATTCCTTTTATTTTTCACTACTTTTTTTATTAATAGCTCTTTTTACCCTATTAACTAACTTTTTTCCTATGTGCTGCTTGATAATATATTTAAGAGCAGTATAAGTCAAATGATAATATTAAATTACTTAAATTATTACTTAAAATTATAATTTTACATTCTAATCGAAATCGTGCAGTGTGATTATAGATTTGAAATAAGATGCAATTTAATTGCAGAATTGCGTATCTAATGCTTGCTTGTTAATACGATGAAATAAAGGTGTCAGTATTCTCCAGTTGTTA